TCTTCCGTTGTCTCCTTCCCTTCCGTTCACACTCATCTTACTTAAAGCACCGTCCCTGTCAAGCTATAAATCTTTCTCAGCGTCAGCCCGTCTTTTTCAACTTCCTCTCCTGTTGTTTATTCTCCAATCGTCACTCCGCTCCTTCACTCTCGTCTCCTTCCTTGTATCCTTTGAATGGATCTCTCAAGCTCCAGGTTTTCTTTCCAACCTCAGTCCGTTCTTTTCACTTTCCTTTGGTGTTGTATCCTCCCGGTCTCTCTTTCCACCTTCAGATTTTAACAGCAAACCACGCTTTTTCGTGGCTGGGAGCACTTTACTTGAGTTTCCCGATCTTCGCAGCCTTCAGGTTTGTCTCTCGTTTTTCTCCAACCACTTTTAATCGCTGCTGCATTCTTCTAGATCGCCATTTTCTTTCAACTCTTTCAACTCACAGTCTTTTCTATCCAGGTCTCTCAATCCACAAGCTCTACCAACTTCAACTTTATCACGATCTCTCCGCTCCTAGTTTCTTCCTCAAACCTCTCCGTCTTCTGCGCTCACAGATTTAATACACTGTCTTTCTTTGTGTGTACCTTCTATTATTTAATCTCTTGGTTCTTTAGATCTGTCGACTCACAGCTCCTCCGCCGGGTCGCCGCTTGCGTTGAGGGTTCCCTCTCCGATTGAGCTTCCTCTCAGCGCCCGTCCTAATAGACACTTAAATCTTCTTAGACTCTCCTCATATTCTTTAGTATTAGGAATAATATAGGCTATTACAGCTTACTACTTGGCACTGTCTGTTAGAATTCTTCTTGCTTCCGCATCATCTGTGGCTTTATCAGGGCCTCAGATCCGCCATCAGCTGCTGGCAGAAGTTTCCACATTGAAATTAGGAGGTTTCCTTCGTCCTAACGGGCGATCGCCTTTCGCCTCGTTATTCCTCCGGCATCCCCCTTTCTCACGCGTTGTCCTCCAGACTTCCCCGCGCCCCCAAAGGGTCTCCAAACATGGAAAGATTGGAGTTAGGTGACAGAGCCTGTCTCCTTGACTCTGTACCGCCCTGATGCCACCACCGGAAGTCCCCTATTCTATTCTATTCTATTCTATTCTATTCTATTCTATTCTATTCTATTCTATTCTATTCTATTCTATTCTATTCTATTCTATTCTCTCATCAGCATCAGACCAGCTATGTAGCAATATGTAAGGCTTATTCTACAAACCAATGGGGAAAGTGTTGAACAATGCTGAGAGTTTGACAATCTACAATGCAAAAGTTGTCCCAGAAAAATCAGAAGTAATTTACAATGCAACTCATATGCATAAACAGAAAGAGCTTTGTAAATGCTTACATTGAAGCATTCTGTACCTGCAAATTTAGCAAAATGGCACCAATTCGCATGGCCTCACTGAGTTCAAGGCTGTACATCTGTTGAAGGAAGCGGGGTGGACTTTGATTGTTAGGAGGAAGTACCTCAATGTAAACAGTAGTGATGGAACTCCTGAAATGACAAACAGAATTCAGTCAAAATCAAATTATAGCCCTTTTTCTAAACTCTAACTGTTATAATGCATTAAGCATTCAGGGTGTCTCAACAAAGAGAGGAGTCCCAATCCAGCAGTTTCTAATTTATGTTATAGTTCTGATAAACAGGTAAAGCTGTTTCCATTCCCATTAAAATTGAGAGCAGCCCTATCTGCACTGAAGAAACTGCAAGAACCTTAAGAAAACGTTAATTTCCTACCAAGCTTTAAGCTCTAAGTAACAATATGAAAGCTATCTCAGTGGGGATTAAAATAATGTGCAGTATGCTTTTAATGATTGTAACACTTTCTCAAAAATAAGCCAACCTTGATTTTTTTTGGGGGGGGGAATGCTCAGATGTACATATTTATGAACCCAGTTCTTTGATTAGATCAATTTAATAGAAATATATTTATTTTTATTTAAAAAAATCAAAACAAGGTTTCAAACATTATATTGAGTTTTGAAATTTGCTATTAAGAATTGCATCAGCAAAAAAAAAAGATTTTAAAAATCCAGCTTTCTAATTCTAGGGGGGGGGGAATCTAAGGCTTGTACATACTTCAGCTCAACACAGTTTTTACAGTATGAGTTTATTCTATCACTTTAGGAAGAGTAATCCTTATAGGTATGAAGATATGTTTGAATTTAAGATGTTTACAATGCTACATGGCTGATGACAAGCAAAAATATAAATTTGCACTCAAATTGCTTAATATTTTTCTAAGAATAATTTAAAGCCATTGACATTGAAATATTATATTCAGATTGTCCATTTTATAGATTTCCACATATGTTCATTATGTCAGTGACTGTTGTTTCCATGTTATTCAGAAAGCAGACAATAGCAAAATAAGATCACATATTCGAATTCGACCGAACACAGGCAAGGATACAGGTTAGATCCTACCTAGTGGCGATGAGGGTGGCGAGGTCTAACTACTACTCCACCCTCATTGCGTCATCAGATAATCGCCCGGCCACCCTCTTCAGGGTGACCCGCTCTCTCCTTCAGCTGAGGGGGGGAGGGGATTCCCTGGAGGGGAGGGCCGAGGATTTTGCTCAA